ACTTAAGAATATCAGCTTCGACTGGAGTTGCATACTTCATATGAGGGTCTTCGGGATTCTGGACCCATTCGGCACATTTGGACCAGTCCAGCTTCGGCTCAGCATGAAGGCAGACTCTTCGGCATACTCTGAACCCGTTCCTGAAACCCATTTCATATTCTCCTGGGTATAGACACGGACTTTGAGTAGAGCCTCAGCATCAGCCAGCTTCTTCTGGGTCTCCTCCAAGTCTTCCTTGGATTTCTTCAGCTCATCGGCGAGCTTGGAGGAGGAACCTTTCAGCTCATTCAGCTCCTGCTGAACTTGGGAAGCCTTTGTCTGAGCCTAGGCCACTTCTACTTTTTTGGCCATCAGTTGATCCTCAGCCTCATGGAGTTTAGCTCTTTGAACTTCAGCAGCAGCAGCAGCCTCTGAGAGTTGGACATCCCTGGCTTGGAGCAGCTCTTCAGCAGCCATTCTGCTGGCTTCAAGAGCTTCTAGCCGTTGCTGCACTTCAGCTTGTGCAGCAGCTCCTTCCTGAATACGGCTCTCAACGGCAGCCTTGAATTTGGAGACGTCCACTCCCATGTGCTCTTGGAGGAATTTTTCCCCTTCCATCAGTGGGGGAAAAAATTCCTTCTCCATAGCGTCGCAGAAGGTTTTGAGGGCTTCAGCAGCTTTTTTCTCGTACTCCTCACCCTTCTGCTGCTTCTCTTCAGCTGCTGCTTGCTTCAGCTTAGCAAGATTTAATTCCTCTTCAGCTACCTTCTTTTCGTGCTCGGCAGCGTCTACCCTATCTTGTAGGGTATCTATCAGCTCTACAGTGAGAGTCTGATTGTGCACGAACTGAAAACAGGAGCACAAGTTAAAAAAAAAAGGTAAATAAAAATAGAGCTGAATTTTAGAGGAAATAAAGGCAAGGAAAATCACCTGCATCATCAGCAGTTGGTTAGACCTGGCTGGGTCAGGAACTGATCTGCTGGATTCGCCCATCCCAGCAGTGGCCTTCAGCGACCAGATTCTTGCCCTATCTACTTCGGACATGCCAGCAAAATCGCCGAAGTAGGCTGCAGCACCTTCACGGTTCTGACCCCATATGAGGTCCCAGATGTGATCTGGGATTGGAATTCGGGGGGCCGAGAAACCCATTTCTCCAGATTGCAGAGTCTGGAAGGAGGGAAAGGATGACGATGGAGCTTGTTTAGCTTTGGATTGCTCAGCATCATCCTTCTCAGAAGAGTCAATTACTATGACCTCTTCTTCTTCAGGGGTGAGGACAAAAGCCTCAACCTCTCTTGCAATGTCTGCCGTGAAACCCTCAGCACTGGGCATCACGGCATCCTTATTTTTGTGCTCAGCAGCACTCTCCTGAATTGCTTCTTGGACCCCTCCCTTAGATTCGGGAGTTCTCTGATCCACCTCCATCTCAGGAGGTGGCGGAGGGGTCTTTTGAGGTGATTGGGGTGGTGGCCGGGGAACCCTCGGCGATCCATTGCCTTCCTGGGTTCCCTTATTTCAACGCCGATGGTCATCGGCCTCCGCTGAAAGTCATGAGGGCCGATGATGGCCATTCTTCGGCGCCTTTTCCGAAGAGGCTGCTCGTCCATGTCTGAGTCTGAAGACTCTTCTTGTATTTGGTCTTCGGGACGAATAGGGGCTTTCCCTTCTCTGTGTCTGTTACTCTCTTCAGACTGTAACAGACAGGGGGGAGGAAGAATGTGAGTGCAAAAAAAAAAAAAAAAAAAAAAAAGAAAGAAGAAAGACAAAGTTAAGTCTGAAAGCTCACCGAGGTCTTCAGCAAAGCCTCGTCTTCTTCAGCTGCCCTAGCTGCAGCTTCTTCTTCAGCAGCTCTGGAGGACCCTTCTCCTCCTTCGCAAGCTTCGAGAACCCGTGCAACCTCTTCGGCTGTACGGGCAGCTTCAGCTTCTTCGTCCAGCAGCTGAAACCAGGGGTCTCTCTTCTTCCACCAAGGCTTCTGCCTCTGATACAGAGTAACAACCTCAATTTGGAAGTGGGAAGAGTCTAGATGAACTTCCCTATGCCTCGGTTCAGTGATAGACGGGGCCCGATCAGTTACAACTCGTTCTCGGTTGACACCAAGACGAGCGTAGTTAATGCCAATGTTGGTCTCGTCCCGCTCTGAAAAAGAAAAGGGGAAAGGTCAGTTCAGATAGGTTGGCACAGCATAAAAAAGCGAAGTGAGAGAAGAAAAAGAGATAATTAAAAAGCCTCGGCCCCAGCCAAAGAAGCTTACCATCCTTAAACTTTCGGCTGAGGCCAACAGCTGCTAGCATGTTCTCTTGGAAAACATAATGCGTATCGGGGAGCCAAGTCTCCGGGATATGCTGCATTCGGCCGCTGCCCCCCCCGGTTCGGCAACTTGCCGAAGATATTTAGTTGATCAAGGTTCGGATCCGGCCCGTTATCTGCGGGGGGACCTAGACTTCCCATGTCGGGATCAGGCTCAGCAAGGTACCGGGGAGCGCTGAAGACGCAAGGGTGGCCCGGATCTGTGGGTGCCCTAACCCAAATCCATTGACCTCTCCAGTCCTTGTCTGAAGAGTCGTTCGGCCACATGGTTAGGTACTGGGGCCGGGACTCAATCCGGTACCACCCAGAACCATGGCTTCCGTGCCCACTTTGAATATTTGGCACTAGCCGATGAAGCTTTTTGAAGCAGTGTAGGTTCGGCACATACTTGAAGAACTTGCAGACCCATAAGTATGTCATCACCCTTCGGATGCTGGTGGGAGTTAACTGACATAGGGAGATATTGTAATGGATCAACAAGTCTCGGACGAATACGTCCAAAGGGAACCTCAGCCCGTACTGAAGCTGTCTTGTGTACACCCCCTCATACCCCGGGGGTGGACGATGGATTCTATCGGATGCCGCGGGCATTCGGCACCAATACCCATCAGCTTCAAAAATGCCGTAATGCAACTCAATTTGCTCGGCAAACCGATATTGTTCGGCATTCTCCACCCACCATGAGTAGGGGCGGTTCTTTATCATGGCCGAAGCTACTTCGGCATTCTCCCACTCTGAAAACCCGGGGAGGATATCCCAAAGGACAGCGGGAACTTCATCGTCCCGTCCAGAAGCGCTCGGCCCCTCCGTTCTCTGAGGAGGAGCCGAGGAAATTGGAGTCGCCCTAATCCCTTCAGCAGGGTCAGACTCTGGCCTTTGTCCATTCCAGGTCCCAATCCTGTTCCTAGGATCGGGAATTGGCCTTGCTCTTCTTGGAGCACGGGCTCTACCTCTAACTCCTCTTGCCATTGATTATTTCGAAGAAAAAAAGTCGAAAAAAAAAGGGAAGGAGTTCGAATTCGAAGAAAAATAAACTGAAATCAAAGGAATTTACCTTAATCTGAAGTGAAAGTTGCCGATTTACGAGTTCGTAGTGGCAAGTCTCAGTTTCTAAGCTTAATGCTCGGGGAATTTGCGAAGTTTTGATGCGGGTTCTTGGTTTCTCTCGAGAATTCTGGGTTTGTGTTGGTGAATAAGTGAGGAGAGATGACGCGCCTCTGTTTATATCTCCAGGAATTGGAGTACGGGGAGTCCGCGTTTCAATTTCTCTTAAATACCCCACTAAGTAACCGTTAAACACACGACCTTGCGATTAAACTGCCCATTATCCGTCCAACTTCCACCATCATCCGCCTTAACCGTTGTTATCTCATTAATTACGGTTTAAATTCAAATTTTTGGATTAATTAAATCATTTACTTCCCTCCTTTTCTGAATTAAATCAAACCCGACCCGTCATCCTTCCAAATCGGGTCTGGGGGGCAAGTTGTTTGGGTCCAATTTAGTCCAATTGGGCCTAGGCATTAAATGATCCAATTAAAAGCCCGAGGTCAAGGTTCAACTCTCCAATTGTGCTAAAGTCAAAGGTCAGCCCTCAAAGCAAGCCAATTGGGCTAAGGCCCAACTTCTCCATGTATGAAGAGGTATAAAAGCCATCAATATTCATACATTCAGGGACATATTATTCACATATTCACATATTCACATATTATTCACATATTCACATATTCATATATTGACAGATTCACATATATTCATAGATTCATATATTCTCATACACAAAAAAAATAAAGCCTCAAGCAACAAATTCTCTTGCATAGTGTTCTCTTTCTACACATTGTACTGACTTTAGCATCGGAGGGGCCTTCCTCGGCAACACCCCCGAGGCTAGTTTACGTGTGTTTACTGTGCAGGAAACCTTCGGCCCAACATAACTTGGACCGAATCCAGTCTTCTCCGTTTCAGCGGACCTTCGGCAAGGTCCCATTGTTTTCACCCGAAACAAATAGTATTATGAATTACGTGTTTTTTTTTTATGCATTATTTTTTTTTTGAAGGAATTTTTTTATGCATTATAGTTATGAATTAATGATACAAAGAGGAATCACGGGCAATTAGTATTTTCTTTTTTCACTTTTAAAGAAACATATATCCATTAAAAAAGAAGAATTGATTTGTTATTACGTAGTAATTAATTATTCTTATTCTTATTGACTTGACCTAATTGAAACTTGAAATTTGACGTATTTGACTTATTCATAATCACAAAGATATATTTTCTTTCTAAAAAACAATAGTAATTTATAATTATGTTTGAGTGATACTTGTCTAGTACTACCTTGTACAATCCGACGAAAAAGCCACTATACTTGGATTTAAAGAGAATAACAAGTGGCTATGCTACCTCGTACTTAACGGATCCCAAGAATAAATATTAACATTAACATTTTTTATGAATAATTTTCCTACTAATTCATGCTATAATCTTCACTTAACTGCCTACCCTACCCCATTAATCACTCACAAACATAACCCTAATAAGTTCTTTATTAGATACATTGCACAGTCATAATTCACTTCTTATTCACTAATTCTATCAGTTTTATCATAATCAATTCTATGATTTATTGCTTGATACGTGAAAAGTCTCAATACAATTGATATTTTCTAATTCACAAAAGTGAAATAAATATAATTCAACCTTTTTTTTTTTTTTTTTTTTTTTTTTTACTAATTGTGATTTTGATCCAGAGCAAGTGCTGAAATTACTACAATATGGTGAGCCCTAATGCAATCAGAAACACCCTTGGAATTATAGGTATATATATTTATTTACCCTTTTGCCTTAAATTTCATTCAACAATTATACTAATATTACTTGATTTTTTTTTTACCAAATTATTGTGTTTCGCTTAAATCTAACAAAACAACACTATCTACTTTGTGTGCAGGAAACGTCATCTCTTTTGGATTGTTCCTTTCTCCTGTGTAAGTTTTTTTTTTTTTTTTTTTTTTCTCCTATTTTGGATTTTCTAAACATAAATATTCTTCTTCAAAATATATATATATACTGTAGATAGTCGGGTTAATATTTTAAGAAGTTCAAAAAATACCTTTAAAATAAAAAAAAAAGTTCAAAAAATACTTCTATCACGCACACTTAAAAAACTAGCCGTGTAATTTAGATTTTAATTAATTTTTTTTAAAAAAAAAAATTCGCCACAAAAATTATTATACTGGTATAATATTTATGTGTTTAAATTATTAATTACAGGCCTACATTTTTGCGAATTATCAAGAACAAATCTGTGGAAGAGTTCAAGCCAGATCCATACCTATGCACGGTCTTGAACTGTTTATGTTGGTGTCTTTATGGTCTTCCCGTGGTCCATCCAAATAACATCCTTGTGACTACTATCAATGGCATTGGCTTGGGCATTGAGCTCATCTACCTTGTCATCTTTTTCATTTATGCCTCTAAACCTAAGAGGGTAATACATCGTATATCTTTTTTCCGTTTGATTAATATATAATAAATTTGAACTAGTAATGTGATAATATAATTTGTACATAGAAAGTAGTTATTTATTTAATTTCATTAGGGTTGCATTCTTTTGAATATTAATGTATTGTAACATATTTGTACATTGCAGAAAGTTATCGCTTTGGCTTTGCTTATAGAGATCCTCTTGTTTGCGGTAATATTGACGTCAACATTAATGATATTCCACACCACCTATAAGAGGACTATCTTTGTTGGAGCCTTTTGCGTCATCTTCAATGTTTCAATGTATTTTTCACCATTGACAATCATGGTACATTTTCTAATCCATCCTATAAGATTATTTATGTTTTTAAATATCTAAAGTATTTTAAGGATTATGTAATGTTTATGAAATGAGATTAATACATGATCTTTTTAATTATAGAAAAAAGTGGTGAGAACTAAAAGTGTGGAATTCATGCCCTTCTTTCTAACACTTGCGGGCTTCTTGAATGGTGTTTGCTGGACCGCTTATGCATTAATCCATATCGACTTTTGGATGGTGGTACGTTACTAGCTTTTCTTCACCTTTTATTTAAATATTGTAATACCCCATATTTTTAAATATGTGGTAACGTTCCAAGTTATATTCATCTAGTAAGTTAAATTTTATTTGTTTACGCAATAATTCTTATACTCCATAATTAATTACTTTTGCTATTATGCGATTATGTTGGCAGATTCCAAATGGTTTGGGAGCAATATCTGGTATAATTCAGCTAATTTTGTACGGAACTTACTACAAGAGTACACCAAAACCCAGCAAATTGGATGGTGTGAAACCTTCACAAGTTGAACTCCCACCCAGCAAGCCAGTTGAAGAAGTTTAAGTTTAATGTCATCATTTTTCTTCTTAAGTTTACTGCTTTAGAAATACAATTGTAGTTTATTAGAAAAGAGTTTTGCAGAGGATGTTTTAGTGAATTCTTAAATTTTTGCAAGTTTTCAATACAATTTATTTTGGTACTCAATTCTGTTTTTAATATTCAAGCAATTGTATTTTAAAATTCAATAGGTTTTTACTTTTCATTGATTCATCATAACTTGGGCCCTTGTTTGGTTTGCCTTATTCCAATAATTTCCAAAAAAAAAAGAAAAAAAAATGTTCAAAAAGACGATTTATAAGTTCATACAAAGACTTTGATTAAAAAGAGAAAGGTTACAAAGCTGGATAAGAAATGGAAAATTAAAGACTACTCAAGCCAATTTACCACTAGATTTTGAAGTATTTATCCTTTTAATTTTTGGAATTGATCATGATAGAAAATCTTTTTTTTTCAATGAATAAAACATTGAGAAACTTTAATCTCCATAAAGAGGTTTGTCCGAAAAAGTTTTGTCCATCAAACTTAAAGGTCATAAGTAGGTAGTAGTAAGTAAAAATTATGAAGATAGTAAAATTTTTAAAAGCTTGTATAAATTATGAAGGTATAATTGTATAAAACCTTGTATAAAATGATGAAGATAGTAAAATTTTAAAACCTTTTATAATTGTATTTTTAAGTGTGAAACTTAGAGATAATTAGGTGTATTTTTTAGGAAAATTTTCTAATACAAAGTAGATAATTTCAATTTTAAAATCTTGTATAATTCTTCCTATGGCAGAGGGGCAAAAAAAACTTCAGATCTTGTTGTTTTAGATAAATTGTGTTTTATTTTTTATTTTTTATTTTCTAAATTTTAAATATTTTTACAAAAATATTAAGTTGAGACTTGTGAGTGTTTGATTAGAATTCCAGTTACAAACTCCTTGCAGATTGTAATTATATGCAACTGTAAAAAAGAGGAAAATGAGTGACAACTGGAAATTGGAGAAATTGATTTACAAGTCTGGCTACAACTAATGCAGACTTTTAAATTGGAACAACCAATAAGTAGAATGTTTTTCCCATTTGTAAATGCTCACAATTACCTTTACTTTTTCACCATAATTACAAGTTGGATGGTATCTCCCGCAAAAGCCAAAGCAATAATCAATAATCCAGACATTATAGTCTGGTTGCTTCGAAAAGTTCTAAAAGCCACCATCGTCTAAGGTCCTCGACGTCTTTGGAAGCAGAAACAACTTTGCTGCTGATCAACAGGGATCATTCCCCCACCTTTCGATGTGTCAATCGCCTCCAACAAGGAAACTACTTCGTCCATTTCGGGGCGCCTATCGGGATTAGCATCCCAACATTTCTTCATTACATTAGCCAATGCACTAGGGCAACATCTAGGAATTTCTGGCCTTAGATTCTGTGGATCCCAAGACGAACAATTTCAATACCCAGTAAAAGGGCAGAAAGGAGAAACATGATGAAAATTCCATAACAAGCAAATATCATAGTGCATACCTGGCGAACCACTGCAGAAGTCACCTCTGAAAAACTGAGGTCCGGATAAGGCATGTCGCAGCAATATATTTCCCACAAACAGATGCCAAAGCTATACACATCACATTTTCTGTTATATGGATCCCCATTTAGAACCTGAAATAAATCAATTTCACAAGCTGTTAGTGATATATCACAAAATTTCAAGCCTTTTAGTCGTTGAAGATTTTTTTTTTTTAGGGACTTTTTGGCTCTTCAGTGCTCTGTTTTCATTAACAGCCTAAATGTTCACTGCTCTACTCTGTTTTTGTTCTGCCCATCAGAGGTTACGGATTAAAGAAACGTATTTTCGTGAATCAAAAAGGAATTCTTCCCTGATATGGCTCATCTTGTAAACCATCAATCAACAATACTCCAAAAATTACATGACAACAAAAGGGATGCAAAAAGTAAAACCCAATCTCTGGGAATGGTAGCTTGGTAACATTTTATTACACTACTCACAGTTTCCAACAGTTCATGTGGCTCAGAGCTGTTTTTTTTTTTTTTTTTTTTTTTTTTTTTTTTTTTTTTTTTTGTGGTTCTGGTTGGGGGCTAGTACAACAATAAAACCAAACAAACAATCTACACATAAATATTCCAGCTTTTCCCTTCTGAAGACAGTCCTACAACTCCAGGCAACTGTTTCTGGTTATTAAATAAGTTATTTAGGTGATCATCGAGCTAAGCCACCTTTTGGGCAAACAGAAATAGTAGAAAACAAAAACCAGGGAAAGGCACTGGAGCGAACAGTTCAGTTGCATCCCATACTCCCATAACCCAAACCTGCTCAAAATTGAAATTGGCAAGGGTGAGAGACTCACCTCAGGGGCCATATAACCAAGCGTTCCTGTTTCTCCAGTCATATCACTCGGGTTTGAAGCCTCAACCCGAGCTACACCAAAATCTGCTATTTTCAGAGTCCTTGATTTATCTAGTAGCATGTTCTCTGTCTTTACATCTCTATGAACAATCTTTTCAGAGTGGAGATAGCTCAACCTGTTGAAAACACAACGGATTAGATTGGATGAGTTTGCCAAAACATTTGTCATTATAGAATTTATGTGGAAGTTGCATATAATTACCCTCTAGCTAGATCAAGCGCCAACTGGTGGACAACCTTAAAAGCTAGCTTCTTTCTTCGGTTCTTTATGAGGTAATTCTTCAGGGCACCCCCAGGAAGATATTCCACAACAACACAGCAGATATTAGTTGGCATGCTGATTAGACCACTTTCTGTTTGTATTTGCAGTCCTGATGCACCCATCTTTGCCCCAATAAACTGCAGCATGCATCAGAGATCTATATGACTAAGAGCTCTGATAATAATAACATAATAATTCATCATGTATTGGATTAAAAGTAAAAAGTTGCAAAAAACTGGCAGTCTGCTCTTGTAAGAGTTGTAACCAAGTCACTTGGATGATACAAATCATTTTCACTACACATAATGCGAATTAATAAAATACTGTATACTTTGTATAATATACACTGTATAGTTTTTCTCATAACTTTGGGCTTAAGGTTGGACTTTGGACTCCAAGAAATTTTCTCTAGTCCAGACTGATGGACTAGATTAAAACCAGGAACTTCACAAGTCCACTTACACCCTTGAGCTGGAGTCAAAAATAAACTACGAATTCAAAAGATTTTAAGAGCTTAATAGCTAGTCTCATAGTGATGACCTTTTTCCTAAATCTAAATTAAAAAAAAAAAAAAAAAAGGGTTCCAAGTCGTAAAATTATTTTTTATAGCAAGGATGACTGATGACTTTTGAGGCTCATTGGGTTTATTTTTGCAATTATAGGGGAAATGTTACAAACATCTATAATCTGCTAATAAACCCTCTCCCACCCCCCACCCCCAACCCCCCTCAACACACAAGCACACACACACACAAATGAGACATCTCTTCTGGCATTGGGGATTTTGGTATGATATGGTATATCGCAGTTGTAGAGTAGCTAATTCCGAGATCAGGAAATGATGTTAAGATAACAGAACAGACAAATGCCTAGTTCACTTACTTCACTAAACTCATTCTGTTAAAGAATTTGATGGTTCTGACCTAGACCTTACTCCCAAAACAAATAATTTGGAAGACATAAAATGTTAAGCAATAATGCGGAGCATGAAACAAAGGTCACAGTTCCTAAAATTAATGGAATGTCAGGTAATCACTGTCCATCTCAACAAAAAAAAAGCCATCAACTTTGCCTTATTAAGGCAGCCCCAACTTTCTCAAGTTTTTTTTTTTTTTTATTTAAAATCTACAGATTTCTAAAATTAGATGCAAATGTTTAGCAATGAAGTAAAAGTTATCCAACAGAATTAGCTACCAAACCATGAAAACATAATGTGCGGGAAATTATATACGAGTATAATTGATTGATTATAATAATACTATATACTTATGGTGAAGAAAAAACATGAAATGGTTTAACAAGAACTACACGTCTAAACTTCCAGCAAGATGAGCCATCTTGAGCTATATCAAATTTCAAGAAGGAGCCAAGTACCCATGTTATATAATCCTTGTATCCCAAATTCTGAATTATATAATGCATCAATACATGTACTGAGCTATAATGAAGTACCAATAAAAGATTAGTAGTGTTCAAGGAGCTTTTCTAAAATTACCAGTTATCCAACTTTTACTATTCCCTCTATTACATACAGTGATATAGGTGTTCATGTTTGGAATCTGAGGAAAACCGATGCAACCAAACGAGCTAAACTCATTCCTAGAATCCTACTCTAGTATTACTCTCCCTTAGAATTCTAGTTGGAGTAACCACCACGTGCCACTCTCCTAATAAATGAGGGTAGTAGTCATAAGTAGGGATACATTGAGGAATCTATGCTGGTAAATTGAGGAAATAGTTGTCAAAAGTGGCATAGATTCTTAATAAGAGCATGTTTTTAAGACACCCCAAATCCCCAATAAGGAAACTGGGAAAGTCAATATGAAATGTACGGAGTAATGACTAAAAATCTAAAAATAGCCTACTTTTAAAGGTTTGACAGCTTTGACCTCAAAAGTCAAATGTGGCCTTTATTATGTCTAAGGATTAGATAGGTGATCTGCAATGCTTTCATATGAATATCATTTTGGGTATTAATTCAAACAAATAGATAAGGCTTCTTGCATAAGGTTCACATATATAACAAGTTCAGCACATACACTGGCAATAAAAAATAAGAATATTTTGATAATTAATAGTTGGGTGATTCCTTTGATTGACTCATCAATTCAGTATATTATCAGACTATCAGACAAATAGGAAGCTGATAGAAATCATAATTACAATTCATTTGGCTAAGCTTATAGGGGGGTGGGGACAGCAACTTAAAAACACTTCTCCAGAAACTGCTTGGGTTCCTATATTAAAACTTGAGGTGTTTGGCACAGTATCCTAGAAGGCTAGAAGTGCATTTGAGAAATAGAAACTGTTTGGTAAGTTTGGCCCGCTCCTCAATATTCCACACTTTTTTTTATAATTTTTAAAATTTTAATAAAGAACAATATCTTAATCAATTCAAGCTAAGTAAAAAAATTAAAACATTGCAGTCTCCTTATCTTCCAACTTCCATCCCCTTCCTGCTGGCCAACCACCACCCAACCACAGTCAGACGACCACCACAACATTCATATGTTGTAGAGTTTTTCAGCTTCTGCCTTCTGGTCTTCAGGGCCCTAAAAATACTCCTAGAAACTTGACCAAACACTACTTTAAGAGCCTAGATCTCTTAATCATCATCTATACTTTCAAAATGATATACCTTCCACAACCTTAATGCCTTCCAAAATTGATGTGATATATCCCCCATACTTGTCCACACACAGAATGACACTAGATTTGACGTAATCAGATGTAATCCAGACAAAGGCTCCCCAGATTTATAAAGAGCATTTAATAGTTATAATGCTTTGAGCTTAGAGTTTCCTTACATTTATACATGTTGCTAGAATGATTTACCCCCATCAAGTAGTATCAGCACTATTATCTGCTTGTTCAATAAGCATACTAGGACATATGCCTATCAACCTATCTAAATAAAAAGAAGCTTTATTACTCATGCATTTGAAAGAACATAATTCAACAAGGAAAACAGCAGAGATTACGAACAGTTAAAGAATCCAAACATAAATGACTTGTCAATCATGGACACAGCCTTGAGCAACTTCATCCACATCAAATGATCGAATACGAAATCATTTAACTTGAAAGTATCTACGAATAAAGCTTTCCAATATGCAAGAACAGTGAGATTTTGTCCATACAGAGTGATTCAGTACACTTTCTCCAAAGAATTTTTTTTTTCCCACTTTTTATTAAATTCTTGCTCTAGTTCAGGTGATACCACAAATATGTAAAAAAACAAGATAAAGGAAATTTAAGTTATTTTCATCCACATTAAGAAGGCGAAGAAAATTTAGGAATAAAGACCTTAGTCACATTCGGATGGTTAAGCTTATGCCACACTGCAACTTCTTGTGTAAAGGCTGCCCTGAGTGAAGCTATCTCAGCTGCTGTTCTCTGGCCTTCTTCACCCCAGTCAAGCAACTTGACTGTAAATTAGAGAAGTATTAAGTCCATAATCTCAGGATAAAAACTACACAAACACAGACGATCTATCCACGAGCATGAGCATAGAGAGCTTAAGGGCTTAAGGGCTTAAATTCGATAAACATAACGAAATTTTTACTATAACAATTAACCAATCTGACATCAATTAAAGATACAACATGGCCAAGTTGGTTTATAATGCATCACCCAACAGTTTGCATTAACTTCCAAGTCCTTTATTAATTTCATGTTACAGCTGATATCACGTGAAAGATTGAAATTTGTCATCAAAAGTTCAAGCTAAACCCGTGCTTTTAACTCACAGATTTCTCAGAAAATACCCTCACAACAGTCCATCGCCATCTTCGCAATACGATTTACAACCAATCAAAGGCAGAAAAACTTGCCACAAGTAGATAAAAAACTCCAGCCAAATAAAATTTAAAATAGAAAGGAGGCAATAGAAAATGACATTAGCATTATACATAAGAGTATACAAGAAAAAAGCCAAGTCATTTTAGAGGACCACCTAATGCAAAATGCATAATGCCTAATGTAATAACAGACCGACCAAATCTTAGTGGACCTCATCAGGATTCTGGAAAGCAAACCAAATTCAGTATCTTCTAACTTGAACATAAACATCAAAGCTAATAAAAGATAAATCAAACAATTAATTTCTCTAATTATATTCTTCATATTTAATTATAATAGTACGGAGTAATACGGTTATGATATACGCAACCCGAATAGCTAATAAATTGCAAAAGCCCCATCTTGATTTAAGTATGAAATTGACAGTAACAAGAAATAAATAAAAGGGTTAAAAAAAAAGAGCAGTAAAAATTTTCACTCAGGCATTACAACAAACAGTTGGTGGGCAAGACCAAAAACAGAGACAAAAGCGTCGGAAAACGCTCACCGGCGACATCTAAACTGTCGTAAATCCCACGATGAACGGTCCCAAAAGTGCCACGTGCAATGACAGCCTTGATGATGAGTTTAGAAGCGTCGATCTCCCACTCAGGTTTAGCATCACTACTAGTTTGATGATTATTATCACCCAAATCATCTTTTTTCTTGCTTTTTTCCATAGTTAATGCTCTGCTAAGATGCCTTTCAAGCTGTTCATCTAAGCTCTTCAGATCAATCTGATCTGCTCTCACAAACCCACCATCTCCACCTTCCTTCATCTTTTTTTTTACAATTCAAGCTCAAAAAGATGGAAAATTGGAGAAAAGGGTATTAAAAAAAAGAGAGAAAATTGACAAAGTTTGAAGCTTTTTCTGGTGATTTGGGTATTTCTGGGAAAGCTCTGATTTTTGGAATTAGTGTTTGAAAATTAGAAAGATAGATTAAAAAGGTAATTGAATGGAAAATGATGGGAAAAAAGAAAGGGTGTATAATAATTGGAAAAATTTAGAGAATTGAAATGAATTGATTTGGTTGGATTGGGGTTGAATGAATAAGCTGGGGTTTCTCTTTCTCTCTCTCCAATTTCAGAGTATCGTCAACCATGTGAGCACATGGAACTGCCTCATATTTGACTTCATGTCTTTTAGACTTACACCCGCTTTACTCTCTGCCTCCTTTCCACCCCTCATTTATTGCCATGTTTTTTTTATTCATTTATCTTTTTACCGTTATGTTCATCTGATTTTCATTTACTCGTACTGTCGTACATTGTTGGTGTATAATGTATATCCGGTCTAATAAGACACTATGAGACAACTTTGATTTTTATCATAACTTTAACTTATCTAATTCCGTCATAAAAAATAAAAACTTATCTAATTATGTCGGTTATCTAAACTTAATACTCTCTATGTCTTTTTACCATTATATTCATCCACTAGTTGTGAAGCGTGTGCGTTGCACGACTTTATTTTTGTATTTTTTATTATTATTTAAGATTTGTATATTATATAATAATAATAATAATAATAATCAAAAACCGATAAAGTCATGAACACAAACACATTTATTATTATTATCATTGATAAACTATTGCAATTAATTAAATTTTTTTTTATTTATAAGATATTAAAAAAAAAAATTGTCATGTTCAAATAGAATTATCTCTTCTCTCTCTTCTACACCTCTATGTAAAGTAGTCTATTCTTTTTTTGTAATTGTGATACATGTATCTTGGGTCTCCTGTTAATGACGCTGGCAGGATTATTCTTTTCCCCTCTTCCCCAATTATGTAATGTGTAGAGTATACCGTTTATGTAATGTGTAGAGTATACCGTTTTTTGTAGTTCTGGTACATGTTTCTTGTGCCTCCGGTGAATGTTGATGACAAGATTACCATGTCATATTAACTACAAGGAAAGCAAAAGCATTTTACATTAACTATTTTATTAACGACTAATCACATGCTTATATGCCATGGTAATTTATCTTCTAAATATAAATTATATCATTCTTTTTTTAATTGTTATCTATATGATTAATTTTTTAAATTGTGTGTTTTTCTAAATTTTTTTAATATATCATATTACGTTTACGTTATTTTGATTATTAGTTATAACATTTATCATATATTATGAGTTTTTTGAATATGATTTTTAAAATATCATATTACGTAATATTTGTTGCAAATATTTGAAAGCCTATGAAACTATACATTGGTTTGTATTTATTTTATTGTTTATTTAATTAATCTTTTTTTTATATCTCCTAACACATGCTTTAATCTTGTGTTAAATTCCAATTTTTTTTTTCTATTATCCGACTTCTGTTATATATGGTAGTAACATATTTTAGTTATCTATGCAATGTAATTTTATTATTATCTGTAACGCCCTCGACAGCTGTATTTTAAAAAAAAAATTGTATTATTATCTTGTTATCGCTCACAACACAATATTCATTCTTGTTAGGTACAACGGAAAAATATTGAATTGTGTAAACTTTGCCTTCAATTAGTTTTGAACGAAATTGTTGCAAATTTTTCTTTGATTGAAGCATGGACATAATCACCCTGCACATGAAAAATAATATTGTAAGTTACACAATGAATTTGAAAAAAATATTATATATATTCAATGAATTTAAAACGATAAGTATGATCAAATAAAAAAAGTTAAAGGCATATCTCGTTGTCAATTAAAACCATATCAAAACTAATCAAACTATTGTGTTTCCGAAAGTTCAAATCATCAAAAAGCCTTGATATACGCTATTTAATTTTTCAATCATTTTTGGAAGAATTAATTTCTCGAATCGATGAAATAGACCTAAGAAAACAATGCAATGAAAAGAAAATATTTAAAAATAAATATTACGCGCAACTACAATTTGAAAAAAAATTGAGTTTAAGAAATTAGATTGGCATTTTTTTAAACCACAATATGAAATCCCAATTTGTTTTGTATGAGGTATTGTGTGATTTTTTGGTGGTGCGTGAATTAAATTAATGCCTATTTATAATAAGCAGCTACTGCAGCCCCCGCTTTTTCGGGTGGAACTCCCGGTTGAGGACTTACTCGGAATGCTGCCAAGATAACAAATCGTAAGCTAACTAAATCAATTTATATCTTTTTCCCAGCTTAAATTTTATCATTTTTCAAATTGTAACTTTTAAAAATTTCTAACAGTCCAAAAATTTATCCATGCAACAACGTGCATTATCATCAACAATTGTCAAAGGCTAAAACAACGTTGTTTATTTTTTCTTAATATTAACTATTGAAATATATACGTATGGCTGGTATAAACTTGGTGCAACTCCTAAGTTAGTGCATCTTATCGTATTGCTAGGTGAGTTTTTAATATGATAATTTTATTAAGTTTTTTTCTTATTAATATTTAAGTATTAAGATTTTTTTTTTATTTTTTTTTTTTGCACCAAGTTAGTGCATCCTTATCATATTGCTACGTGAGTTTTTAATATGATAATTTTATTAAGTTTTTTTCTTATTAAAATTTTTGAGTATTAGTTTTTTTTTTAAGGGATTAATTTTATTAAGTTTTTTTCTTATTTGATAAACATAATCCTATGTGACGTACTTTATAAATAATAATCAAAATTTTATTATGTTATTTATTTAATAATTATTATCTTACGTGACACACTTTAAATTACAATCCTACATAGAGCATTTTTAATTTTACGTAGCGCAAAATCACAATCTTACGTGGCGCTCTAATTTTTTTTTTAAAATAACAAAATCTTAAGTGACTCTCTAATATTAGATTTTCATTTACTTTGTTGGTGTACATCCTGTCTAATGAGACACTATGAGACACTTTGATTTGTATCGTAACTTTAACTTATATAATTCCGTCATAAAAAAGAAAAACTTATCTAATCATGTCGGTTATCTGAACTTAATACTCTCTCTTTATATGGTTATCTAAATCACAAATCCTTATTCGAATTTAATTTGTTTGAAATTATACAATCTCAACTTAAAAGTGTATAGAATATTGTAAGACAAGGTTACCCTAAAAGAGTAAAAGTATTTAAAGTTACTCTTGTATACTACTATAAAGGTTATTATTTTTTTTAATATATTAATTATAACTATAAAAAACACTCATAATGTATTAGATAAATCATATTAGTCTTTATACATGTATTTATTAGAAACTACACATTAAAATACAATCAAACTCATTTCAAATTATAAGTTACCTTTAAATGAGTTAAAGTTACCATTAAAATTGTTAAATTTACCCTCATATTCTTATTCAAGAATTATTGGGAGTTACTACTTTTAATGATTATTTAACTTGTTTATTTTACACAATCACATGTATATTCTACTACAGTAAAATTAAGTTCTGATAATATAAGAACAGATGATATAAGTTCACATAACATAATTTCAAACAAAATACGACTATTGACTAATTGAAGCTAATTTGTAGTCATTTTTTTTTTTTGTAAAGATCGTAAGCAGAGTTGAACAATCTTATAAACACCACCTTTACCTCAGCTCTCTTTAGTTTCCATACAATCTTTATTTATTTTTTTTAAAAATGATTTCAAAGAACAATAAACATAAACATGAGTACTTTTTAATTTCCTAGTGTTATTAGTTTCCAAAATATACATGACAATGCATATATTTTATTAAAAATTCACTATACAACTTACTCATTTTTTATACGAATTTCAAGATCTCAAAAAACTGAAAAATGTAAAACATACATACACTTACACTTAATAAACCTCAATGTGTATTTTTAAAGTTAATAATTTAATAAAGTGTGGATATATTTTGGTTCTCAAGCAAAGAAATGAAAATGAAAAACATAAAAGGCACCATTGTATTGGTTTAGAATTATTCATTACCTAACTAATATTCCTGAATAAGGTACTTGTATTATTTTAATACATTATTAGCCTTTCATAATGGTTAGGGTGTTTGTATATTTTCATTTTTTTTTTTAATTGTTTTTTCTGTTATTGATTTTTCATTTCTATCAGAGCCAAAGCTAAAACATTGGTAATTTCACTAATTTGTAACCTCCGTCAAATTGAGCTAGTGGAGAGGTGTCAATAAAAGAGAGGGTGTCGTTATGGACTCATGGTGCGCGGTTTATTAGTGAAAGAAGACAATTCACGGAGTAACGTGAATACGCGATGGTTTTATTAGATGTAATTTGTCTGAATGAGATAGAAAGAATGGTGAAATTATATATCCACCTTTTAACCAATATCCCTCTACAGCGGATGTATTAGATAGAAAAACTCAAACAGTTGAATAAATTTGTTTTCAATTAGACTAACCATAGAAAAACTCAAACAGTCAAACAAATTTGTTTTCAATTAGACTAACCATAGAAAACTCAAATAATCGAACAAATTTGTTTTCAATTACACTAAACACCGATCGCTAATCAATTTAATCTAATCAGCAAACCATTCATCTCCTTATGATAGTAGGGTTGGGTTGACTTGTTGTTGCCTCAACCCAGCATGAGAGGCACGCCAATGAATTGTCCATCTAATTTATTTTATTTTTTTCAAAAATTGCCACGAGCCAAACACAAGTACAATGAGTCTCTAAGTGCAAGCTTCTTACTTGTTTTTAACCATTAGAGTAAAATTTCTTAAGGAAAATTGTAGGCACAACACACTTGATCGATCTAGTCGTGATTGAAACCTGAATCTACTAGTTCACACATAGAGTTACACAAATACGGAGTATAATGACCTTGCATATGTTCAACTCTAAGATACCGTTATATGATAGGAATTTAATGCAGTATTAGCCACGATCGTACGGTTAGTACTATAGTAACGCACCGGCCAAATGTAAGCAACATGAGTTTAAAATCAATTCATAACATCCTACGTCGACTCCACATTATCTCATATGCCCACTTCTATATAAAACTAACAATTGTCAACATGACAAGATTAATTATCAACGTAGATAGGAATCTTTAATTTGATTAATAATTAATTCATCAATTAATATAAGCTTCATTATTTCTACTTCACACAATATTATAATACCTTAATTGGCTAGAAGAAGAAAATAATGCAAAACTTTAATAATTATTATCATGAGTTAATGTCCTTCATAGATGACTTGGACTATGAAGTTTCCCTAATCTACCTCCATGATTAAACTATTGCATGAGTTCATACGTTTCCTTCCAAAACTTTGGAGAGTTTTACTCTCAAACAAATTATGCATGTTTTAGTGGATTCATGGTCCCCCAACCTTTGTTATGGCTTCAAGCCTTCAACTCAAGAAGTGTAACATCGTCCCGTACTAGTCTAGTCACCACTACACATTTGCTTAGAGACAATGGTCCTAAGCCGTGGTCCTTTTGGCGATAAGACCGTGCGTGAATCCGTCTAGAAGGTGAATGTATGATCTTACTGTCGATATAAATAGACCACATTTGATTGAAAGTTTGTACCTAGTTCTTGTTTGGTCTTTTTTGTTCCTCTCTGATTCACTTCGTTTTATTTGAATTACGCTACCTAGTTCTAATAATAAGGATATAAATCTTGAATCACTTATAAGGATATAAATCTTGAATCACTTATAAGGATATAAATCTTGAATATTATGGTATCATATATTATAATTCTGTGAATATCTTTTGATATTAACTAACCACAAAATTGGATGTAAATAGGATTAAATTTTTTGAGTATATCACTTGAAACGATGCTTTTTCTGTGTGGTTAGCCACACTGTTGGCTTGGGTTACTTATTCAGGGGTTAATTATTTAGAGGTTACTCAGTCAGTCAAGGATTACTTATTCTGGGTTACTCAGTCGGTTAGCGCGTTTTCGCCGGGGTTATTTATTCAGGTGTTACTTATTTAGTGGTTTCTCAATCGGTCAAGGATTACTTATTCCGAGGTTATTTAGTCGGTTAGCGCGTTTTCTGTGTAAGAGTAGCCCCTAACCAACCGAGTAACTCCTGACTGACCGAGTAATGACCCTGAATAAGTAACCCGACCACACGATATGGCCAACCACATATAAAAATTTGTACACTTGAAAAGATTTAGTTGATCGATTAAGAAATACTCTCGATCATCAGAAACAAAAATGATTGTTAACACGGAACTGTAATCTTATAATACTTCGTAGGTCATTATCAGTCTTTTCAAATAGCCGGCTAGCTACAATGTAAAAAGCACTATTCTCCGTAGTAAACTAGTAATTATAAATGAACTTATGACTTGAGGGAAAGGGATATTATGGAGTGATTCATGCACCTTAACAATTGTAGTATGTAAAGTAATTTTATTCCACTCTCTTTATGATTTATATATACTTGGGGGTTTTGTTATTGTATGATTCCGCTTTACATAGATGATTAGGGAGCACTAGTTCAAACTTTTTTTATGTACGCAAGTTAAATTGAATCTAGCCTCTCATTAGCTACTTGTACATTATTGCTTTGGTAGTGGCCAAACCATGTTTCTCTTTTATAAGTAGTATTATCCTAGATAGGCTAGATTCTTCACTATCACTAGAAGAAAGGCCGCACCTGTACGAGTTATAACCTTTTAGCCGAGTTCAATCTACCATTCCTCCGAGGGAGGGTGTAGCCGTGAATTTCACTTCATATTATAAGACATATGTCCCATTGCCATGTACTCGTAAGTCGTAACCATTTCTATTAAACACATTTTACTATCTTATCCTAAAATCAGTTTTCCTAATAACAATATGACTCGTGATAAATGAACACGGAGCATATTATAAACGAAGGGAGTGTGTAGGGTAGATGTTGTGAATGTTAAACACCAGTTTGTATGTTTGTTTTATTTTATTTTATCTTATTTCAAATAAGTTCATATAAATTAAGATAAATTCACATACAGTTAGATAATTTAAGTTAAGGATACATGTAAAAGTTTTACTACATTAAAAATAAGCTCAAATAAAAGAAATGCGAGTACATATAGATAATTTACTTTCTTAAATATAAATTGAACAAAACGAAGCCTAATCTAAAGGGTAACTCGGTATTTTTGAGGAGATTCCAACTTGCAGTAGCCAACAGAAACATGGATACTCATTCTTTTGTCAAAAACTTTATTATTGGCCGTTGTACGTAGTACCTTTTAGTGTACCCTCAAGGAGAGGGATAACCAGAGATGGGCTCACTGCTAGAAGAGTTTGGCAAGTTTCCCATAAAAGTTTGGCTTTTGCTTTTTACAGACGATATAACTTACTAGGATATGTTTTTCTGTTTGCCTCAATCAAGATATATTTTGTGATGGTAGGACACTGCTTGGGACCTAAATTAAATGCTTACTGCAATATTGGGTTAGCATGAAAAATAAACCTAGCCAAAACAAAAGTGAAAGTAATTCCCCGTCCCATACTCTCATTTCCTTTCAGGATGTGCCGAACATGCCCTATTTTACACCTAAATGCCTTGAAAAAGCCTATTGAAAAAAAAAAATTGAGTATTAATACTCGAAAGTATCAACCTTCATCCGTCGGAGTTCAAGATATTGATTCTATCTATGGATCGCCTCAATGCATTGCCAGAAAATGGTACGGAGTACAATTTATATTTGACGGGTAAAATTTGAGATATTGTTAGATTAGTATTACCACTTAAAAGTGTGGAGTGATAATTACGGTACGAAGACTATATAGAACCATCCAACAGGTTAGTAGTATCACACTATGACTCAATCAAGTAGAGAGAAACCGGCCCGGATTTTTCTATATCCACATATTTAGATTTTTCTTATTCCAATCACAATTTACATGATGTAACAAAGTCATGTATGTAGTTTGTGATTGTGAATCCTGGCTATTCAACATGATAAGATTTTGTCTCTTCGAGGAAGCTACAACAGCAAACAAAAATCTAATGAGTGGCCTTGTTTGGATGAGGGAGATGGCTAGTTCCCAGTAAAATAGAGACGAGTAGCGAGTTGTCAACAACCAAAGGATGTCTTTATAATTACCTAGTAATTTATCTATTTGCCTCAGTAAAGGTATGTTTTGTGATGGTGGGACGCAATTCGAATAGGGGATAATGAGGGCACCTTGATCATCTTCAGGATGAGAAACCCTCGAATGATAGGGGGCTGTCTTTAAGTTAGCAATGCATTACTAATGAGATTTGTTTCAACAAAACCAACAATTTCTTACACACACACACACGAGTGTTTCTTGAATGATTTAGGTACATGTACACCCATGTCGAAAATTTATGAAATCCCCCTTATGACCAACTTTAAGTAACCAAACAAGGACTCCACCAAACACATAAAGGGGGCAATAATACACCAGCCACCAGGGAAGGAGGTGGAGAGGCCACCACCTGGTAAACATAACAATTTGAGTTCAGAGTTCAGATACAGAAAAACACAGATACCGTAACATCTTCATGAATGAGTGTCAACCAACTTACCCAGCCAGAGGGTACAGAGAGCTGTACAAGAGACTTGACCTTGCAACCACAATCTTGAATACCGAAATCTAAAACTCAATCGAGAGGCAGGATCTCAATTCCATGGACAATGAGCCCAGACTTGTGTAAACCTACCTCTGTTCCCATCAGTGTCATTTCTAATACAGCAACATCATCACCTACCCTGTTAAAGTATTTCCCCATGTCTATCTTTATCCATCTATGACCACTATCTCTTCGATGCTCAAAAGCTTCTTCACCCTCTACATCATCAAACATATCATCACTTTCAGGTGCCTTGAGATAAAAGGTTTTTGAGGTATCATAGCCACTACCTCCAATATATGCACCATTAGTATCAATCTTTGACACAAAAACCTTGACAGGACAGACATCAAAACCACGAGACCAAGCACCAAGCATGAAAGAAAAGTACATGTGATAAGTAGTGTCTGGAGAGAGTAATTGTGTACTAATTCTCGCTGTTATGTAGAGCTCAGCCACTCCCAATAGTTCTGCCACCTCTGGAAACCTATTAGCACATTTATAGTGAAAGAAAATTTGTAAGCAGCTGTTCTTTTGATATACAGTCACTTAAGCTCCATTTGGTTAGGAGGTATAAATTTCAATGAAACATCAATTGAGCACACAATTCCTTTTCTTTTCCATAAATTTTAAAATGCCTACAAAGAGAATATCTTAACGCATTTACAGATTAACTAGTACTGTTTAAAAATATCCAACAAAAAATGTCTCACCAAAAATCTCTGTCGTCCTTTCAATAGAATTCTTATTAGATGTATGGTGTATCTAATGTAATATGACAAAATGACAATAGTTCATCAACAAAATAAGTGGTCCACTTTATGTCCCCTTTAAATTGTTGCCACATTGGGAGTATATGCTCTCAAATGAACCAATCAGTTTGCCTTTTGCAAAACCAATCAATTTGCAGCAAATTGTTACATGACCTAAGGTGTGTTATGTGCATGCATAATATCTCAAATGAGAAAAGAGGAGAAACAGAGAAATACCTGGACTCAGGTAAGGGTTTCCACCTCCAGCAACGGGGATTCTCACCCGATGCAATTGCAAGTTCTCTGGCACCAAACATATAACATTTCTTCCCAGTCCATTTATCCAATGAAAAGCTCTACAAAAGAAATTGCATCCAACAATATGTTATACCAAGGAGCAAGTAATTCAGAGTTCGCTAATGTATCATGTAAGCAGGAAGAAAGTCTTCATTAATCCATGGCATAACGCAAATATTCAATTTCAATCAAAACAACAGATAAAACTTGACAACATACCCCAGCAAATTCACTCAGTCTTTCTTAATCCCCTTATTTTAAATCAAAGTGTAACTGATCAACCTCTGATATGGAAATTTTTTGTCAGTATTAGAATAACAAATAAACCGTCGAGGGATCGAGTTAATCTCTGGGTTTGGAATCTTCTAAGCCTCTACAAATATAACAATTTCATTGATAACAATTCACTAAGCTCCGATAGATATAGACGGTATCTACCAATTTCCGAGATTAAACTATTGATCACCACCTCTCATTTGCCAGACATCAAAGAGTAATCAAATAAACATACTAGTACACAAGATTTAACTCTCTAATTTCATCTTACAACAAATACCAAAAATAGCAATTTCATCATAGTACACCATCTCATACTTACACAAATTGTACACCTAATCCAATAAAATTCGACTCTTTCTGATGATCAAAACAAACATCGTTTGTTCGAAATTTCGAGTTCTTACATCACTTCAAAACAATCAAGAACAATGTCCATTGGAAAATTACAATCCTGAGCAACTTAACTCATGTGTGATTACACTTATAATTAGCTTGAAATTTCCATCAAAATTAAAACCTTTTATCCCAAATTTCACAAGGACAAACCCTAATTATACACCTTCCACATTACAATTAAATGGTAGTGCAAACGGATCAAATTAACAAAACCCTCAATTACCCTTAAATTACATATTATCAAGAAATCAACTACCCCTTTTCTCCTTATAATCAAATTGCACAAAATTAAGCAATTAAGGGAACAAAAAATCATTAAAAAAAACCCAGAAAATAGAAATTGAGAATTAGCTAAAAAAGATTACCTTTTGCTCATCTTCTAAGAGGATGAAAGAACGGCAAAGATGGAGGACGATGAGCTTAGTAGAAAGAGAAGAAGAAGAGCGTTGGATGAAGGGGTGGTAATCGGACGGCAGGAATTTCTCCCAAACTAAATCGGATTTAGCAATGGAGTTGAAAAATTTGCAGACGAGAGAAGAACGAAGAACATAGAAAGGTGAAGTGAGTGAAAGGATGTGAGAGAGACATCCTTCTGGTAAATCTAACAAATTCATACCTCTCTTATTACTTTCTCTCTCCTCCATTTTAGAGAATTTTTGATGAAGTTGGATGTTTTTATTGGTGAACAAAGAAGGGTTTCTTTGATAATTTTATGATGACCAAGAACATTGCTTCATCTTTAATTTGTTTTAGTCAACTTCACGCTTGTTTTTTAGGGGGTGTTTGGTACTTTTTGGTTCACTATAAGGAATTAAGGATCAACAAACCCACAATGGTTTATGCTACAACTTATTTTATTTCACAATTTTCAAGCCCAAATGGGCCCATCTTTCAAACGATCGAATGTATCATGCACTACACATACGACATATCCAACTAGAATCGATCCTGATCAAAACCTATCTAAACGACTTGATTGTCAACCAACTAGTCATTAGCCACTTAAACATCTTCAAAATCATGATCTATTTAATTAAAATCTTAAAAATCTCCCTTTATTTTTTGTTTTCCAAGGTTACAAGATGCAATGGTTACATGGCCAAGCTGTGGTATGAGAAATCTCAGGTGTTGCTATTTTAAACTTAGGACTCTAAGAAGGGAGGGTTGATGGGGGTTTGAAGGAAACCTCACGTCTGTTGCGGTGTCGCCTGGTATTTAAATATGGAGTACACAATATGTTAGTGAATAACACCGGATCACCAATGAATGTACTTGTGCACCTAGTACAAATGTACAAATTGTGATTCAATAGGTACTAATTCCCTCTTTGATGTAATAATAGCTTAAGCTCATTTTTTACTCCCTCAAACTTAGTTCTCAATCGACGAGTAGGAGCTCGATCCATACCATGGACAACAAGCCAGACTTTTGCGAACCTATATCTGTCCCCATCAATAATTCCAACTCCGATGTAGGAGCATCACCATTATCTCCCCCATTAAAGTATTTCCCCCATGTCTATGTTTAGCCAATCAGGACCTATAATAACATGTTTCAACGATGTCTTCAACCTCTGAATCATTAAATTTATCATTTTTTAATTCGAAGGTGCCTTGAGATAGAAATTCTTTGAGGCATCATAGGCACTAATGCCTCCCAGATGTGCACCATTTGTATCGATCCTTGACACAAAAACCTAATCAGAAGGTAGTGGTGGATCTAGAAATTTTAAAATGGGGTCCAAAATTTTTTAAACTTTAATATAACCAAAAAAATTTGGATATTCTTTACAAAATCAAATGTCGATTGATATTATTAAAGTTTTAATAGTGTATGCGAAATGTTTTTACTTTTTATTTTATTTAGCTAAATTTACCCACATCATGCATTCCTTTTATATTGCAACATGAGGTAATTTGGTAATTACATCGTCTCTTATCGCACAAATTAAACCTTAAGAGAACTTTAATATAATAATAATAATAATAATAATAATAATATTGATGGGAAGATAACAAAATCTCAAATAACTATATTTTCATGACGTATAAAGCACAATATATGGTTACATAAGACTTATGATAAGAGTATGTGAATAGTATTAAAAGTGTAAACGTTGCAATATTTATATAAAAGAAATATATTACATTTAAGTTTTATATGATATATCTAGAATTTCTATTACTTGGTTTTGTGTTTTAGGAAACCAACTTGAAAATGGGAGAGCAAAAGATATTAGAATAAGAAGTACATATTTTACTTAGCCTTGAATTTCATTATTTTTTTGCAAAATGGAGATGCAAGTGCTCCCCATCAAGGCCACATGCATCCGCCATAGCCAGAAGGAATTGAAACCTTGAGGTAAGCTTCGAGAGTGAAAGAAGATTAGTACATTCGGTAAGTTGTGTTTAGCGTAAGCAGTTGTGTGCTTATTCCTCCGGTAATGTGTGCTTATTCTCAGGATTCCGAGGTAAATGTTCTTGATAAACAACCAAAAGTACATCTCTAGATTCAACCCCTTTTAGAATATTTTGAATTTTATTATAACACAGTCACTTGCTACACATTTTTATGTTTATGGAGGAGATAACTTGCAATTTTTCGAAGAACAGTGAGACTTGGTAGGGAATTAGTATTTTAAGACTTGCTCAGTGGTCAACGGTGACATTTGTGGTTTTATGACCAATGTCAAGATGTGATTCACATCTTTTAATTTGGGGTTGGGCCAGGAATAATTGTGATATCTATGGCCTTATATGAAGATTTTAAGTCAGCATCTTGGTCGATCCAGATAATATGATAGTATTAATGTATTATTACTATTATCTCTGTTTTTAAAGGTTGTTATAGTACTTTGAACGTAACACTTTCTTACTTAATTGATTTTAGAAAGTTCTTAACACTTTTACTTCGTAATTGGGTAAAACTTTTATTTACTATCTAAATTCTTTTACACCGCAATATATACACCTTTTTATACACTCTCTTTAGTTTATCCACATTTTTACAACCTTTATTTTAATATAGTGATTTTTTTTTTGTATTAATAAAACAATCATAGTGTCACTAATATTAGTGGTCCACAATAAATTAGTGTGAACCAAGTCCATTTAAGAATTTGTACATACTCTATCAGTCTATCACTTTTTTCTATCTTTTCTTATACCGACTCACTGCATTGATATTTTCAATTCTCTTAATTTATATGCAACCAATTAACGTTAAAAGCTTACAAAATACAGAGGTACGAGTAGTAAATAGTAATACCTACAAAGGAATGGCCGGCATGAAGATCACTAAAGATAGAACAAATTCCAAAATTATACATCAGCCTTTGTTTAATTTTTGGATATTCAGACCATACAATTATTACTACTCCAGTACGTACTCCTTATTACACACTTTTTCTTTTTTTTTTTTTTTTTTTTTTTTTTTTTTTTTGTATGTAAGATAAATATACTAACTAGAGTTGATCATGTACAACATTAATAATATGATCAACAATCTAGAAAAAAATAATTCATATCGATTTATGAGTGTATGACTTGAACATTTTGGTAATGATCATATCAACTCATGTAGTCTTGCACATACTCTTGTAGCTTCCACTCCAATTCTTGAACTTCGAGCCTGTTAATTTTTTTTTTAATTTTTTTTTTAACAATTGAAAGAGAAGATTAAAATTCGTGATACTGTAATAATATTCCCTCCGTTTTATAATATTAATACCTCTCACAGGTCCTCCCGGTCCTGCCTCTAGTGGGGTTTGATCCCACAATTTAAGGTTGTGAAATGCAAACCTTACCACTTAATCAAGCATATTTGGTATACAAAAAATATTACTGCATAAGATTTTTCTTATAAACGGACATATATATATTAGCTTAAGACAACATATCCTATCTATTCTCACTAGTCAGGGTAATCACTATTGCACATTCAAAAATGTCCACTAGTTACAGAAGATGAAAATGACATGATTTTCAATCTCCATCAAGTTAAGTTAACAATAATCTCTCTTTTGTATGATTAGAAATTTAAGAGTGGGGCACCGGAGGTTGGTGGAGGCCCGACTTCCATGACCCAGCTTCGCGGTCTAATAATACCGTGTACTGTATGTACTTCTTTTTAACCCGGATCCATAATTCAAGTTTTGACTTCAATTTTGTGTCATGCAAAAAAATAATCTAGGGAGTTAAAAATTACAAGTACCTTACAATGGAGAGTGTGCAAAGCCATATTCCCAGTATTATTAGAAAAAGTAGCATTGACAACTTCAGCTCCTTCTTCCTCAAGAACCCTAATCACTTCATATAACTTGATATTACTCTCCAGTTCCAACATAAGTTGCACCTCTAAACAACTACCCAAGTCTTTCACTTTGATGATAGGTAATAATAATCCCGAATTCGACATCGTTGCATCAGAATTATTATTTGAAGCAGTGGTGTTTTGTTCACTAGATGATGTCCCTTCTTCGTCGTTAACCATCATTTGTTGTAGTTGCTCCTTTCTCTTTGATAAGTTGTCAACTCTCTCCCTCAACTTCACTATGTAACCTGTTGCTTGTTCAATCTTATTAGCTTGGGATAGCGTATCCTACACAACAACAAAAAATTTATGAATCAATTCACAATTTTATATATATATATATATATATATATATATATATATATATATATATATATATATATATATATATATATATATATATATATATATATATATATATATATTACGCTTCATAAATAGATAAGTTGTATATGTGTACATACAGTACATCCAGCTAAGAATGCACGAGTGCATACCTTCAAGGCGGGACAGATAATTTGAGGATGGAGGGAGTATGAAATATTATTTCACTCACTATATACGTACGTACCTTGGAGGGATGGAAATGTTGAGGAGGAATAATGGAAATGAGGTCATGAAAACAGTCTCTTGTATTTTTGTGAGCAATATTCTTATCAAGAAGACTTTCACTACCCCTTTTCATGCTTAATAAGTGAAAAGGTTATAGAGGTTGCTGGGGTTTTATATAAATTTGATAAATGTGCGTAGAAGCTGGCCTGGCGGAGTGGCGGGCGGACACACGGTTGAATATGTAATGACTAGTATCTGTTTTTTTTTCATGTTTGCGTCATCAAATACGTTATAACACAAGACCGTGGGTCAAGTTTATATTTCCAAAATCTAAAAACACGTTCACCGGCCAACATTATTAATTACTATTGCCAATTTAAGTAGGAGTACGTATAAAAGTCGTACTTTGATATCTAGCCATCATTGCCTATTGGTGGATAAAATACTCAGGATCTTTAGGATCGATCATACTCAAATTTTGGCCCAATTGAATCTGATCTATACTTCGTCAAGTGGAAGTTAGGAAAGTGCTGAAGTGTAAGGTTCCCAAATAACATATGTAAGAGTACCATATTGATAAAAGATGAGTAAGTTAATTAACTGCTTTATAGGACCGATTATAGGCTTGTATAAAAAGCATCATAGCACACCCCCAAAATTGGGAGGCCTCCAATTTAAAAAGTCTTCTAAATATTTTATACATATATTTAAGGTCTATCTTTCTTGATAAATCAATAACGTACGCCAAGTTAGTAGAAGCGGTAAGTTTAGATTGTAATAGTCAATGGATTGAATCCTCATGGAAGCAGTTGTAATAGATGTAGAGCAGAAATTCATATTTAAAATTATGTATTTTAAATTTTTTGAGGGCCTGAATGTTAAATAAGCACAGGGCTCCTTAACACTTTTAAGATAACCCTGCTATTTTATAAGAGTAAATGCCTACTTAGGGATGTCAGTGGGGCGGGTCAAATAGGAGACGTTGGGGGCGGAGATGAGTCTTGGTTTGGCAGGTGATAGGGCGGGGATGGGGATAAAAACCATACCCACCATGGGTGATGGGGCGAGGGTAGATTTTAGGTTGTACCCGCCCCATCCCCGCCCCGCCTGCCCCACTTCGTACCCGCCCCATCTCCACCCGCCTGACTTCTTACCTGCCCCATCCCCATCCATATATTTTTAAAAACAAATTTATATACTTTTATACTACCTCCGTTTCATATTAGTTGCAACTTTGGAATATTTTATATCTCACAAATAATACCCCAAAGTTGCAACTAATATGAAACGGAGGTATTACTATTTTATAAAAAAAATTTATGTAAAATAAAATAGTAAATATAATACTTTGTAATACACTTATATTATAAACAAAAAAAATGTGTAATATTAACAATAATTTTTTCTTTTTGCAATCTTTATTAATTATGAAGGATTGTGTATTTGGGAGGCAGGGATTAGGCGGGTCTTAGGTGGAGATTAGGTGGGAGTGGATATCCAAGTGGGGGGTGGAGTGGGGATGGTTTTGAAGTTGTACTCGCCGGGACGGGGATGAGGATGAATTTTAGACTCGCCGGGGGGATGGGGATGGAAATGGGTATGAAAATTTTAGGTGAGGATGGGGATGGGAAGGCCAACATTCGCTCCGCCCCGCCCCATTGACATCCCTATGCCTACTGTTTTTATTACTATATGGTTTTAGAATGGAATTCCTTTGGACCTCTACTCTTAGTAAAGGAGGGTGTGGCTCAACTTGTATTACTCACTACTCCCTTCGTCCTAGCCATGTGAAATCATCTCATTCTATTTTATAGATATATGTGTTTCAAGATGTGTTTAAGAGATAGTGAAAAGCCAATTAAATGGGCAAATTAAACAAATAAAGTAGTATGTAATGGTTATAATATGAATCTTTAACCACAAGGAAGACAAGCTTTATTTGCTTATGAACTTCATTTTAATAATTTTTTTTTTCTAATAATCTTATATACAACTATACAAGTATAAAAATAATAGTGTGATAATGTTACTTCCTTCTTCAAGGTCAATATTACATTATTTGTTCTTTCACCTTAAGAAGAGTATGTAAGTCTCAATAAATTCAAATAAAATCCAAAATGTTTAATTAAAAGAATTCCAATGTGTTTGACAATGTCATATATATACTCCATCTATCCCTATTTTTTTTTTACCCCATTTGACTTTTTACGGTTTTCGAGACGCATCTTAAAATGTATATAACTCTCTTTATATTTGCGTAATATTATAAAAACTTGATATTAATAATATACAATGAGACGAATCTAATAAAACCCCACTTGACTTTATTACTTATAGATTAATGAGAATTCACGATCAAATTTTTTAAAGTTTTACCCAAAATAATGAACTAAAAAATTAGGAATAGAGGGAATACATAACTAGTAAAAAGTATTCAGTTGTTCAATCCTTAGCTCATAAAAGTAGTTCACATTAGCTGTAAGAAGTTCAAATTATGTTCCCATAATAAGTTGAGACGATCTGAATTATTTAGGTGAAACGATGGATACTTTATGCCATGGAAAACTTAGTATGCCCCCTTGTATCCTCAAGATAGTAAAAGTAGTAAGTATTAAGATTTATCAATTCCAAACCAGTATTTTTTTTTTTTTTTTTTTTTTTTTGAAAAAAAATTTTTATTCATAAATAAAGTCAAATGGCACTTACAAACAATTTTTAAGAAATCTAAAAACCAACACAACTAGATAACACCTTAGCACTATTTACATCGTAGAACTTGAAAAAAAAACTCCATATGTGTGTGAGTTAGCATTAATAATTCGGTTTGAAATCCACTGATTTATAGTTGTTTGGGAGAAATTATTCATGCGGTCCTCTAGATACATACTTACGGGAATTATAAAACCCTAAATCTTCAATCCTTGTCATAAACACAATAGAAAAAAATCATCTCAAGGATGAAATCTATAAAAGTTTTTTAAGGCTTACCATTAATAGAACATTTATATATAAAAACCTCCATAAAGATTCACAACTAATACCAGGAAAAAAAGATATGAAAGAGAAGGATAAAAAAGGGAGATGAGTACGTGAAGGAAAACCTTAAAAATAAAAAATAAAATTAAAAAACCTAATGATGGATGCTAGGAAAACCTTCAATCTCAGGGGAGAAACCCAACAGGAAACTATGTGAAAATCAATTCCAGAAAATTAAAATTGTAGGAGTATTTATTTTAGATAAGTTAGATGAATGATGCGGTTTGCTTACACCTTTCATCAATTCAATCTATAAATAAGAATATAATCGATCATTTCAACCCATGTAGTCTTGTACACACTCTTGAAACATCAATCCCAACTCTTGAAATTTTGGCCTGTGATTAAAAATTTATGAAATAAAAACCGTAAGAAATATATTCGAGCGATTTCCATATATAATGGTAAAATGTAAATTAATTCCGTATTTCCCACAATACTATCCACGTTGGCTCGAATTCGAGGTTCGGTTTTCTACTTAGCGGTTCTATATTAAGTAGATCCTCTAATCAGGGGTAAGATTTAAATAAAATAGAAATTAGGCCAAACCTTATAATCAGAATAGTGAATGAAATTTCCGTACATGAAGGCTATGTCGACAACGGCAACAGTCGAAGGTGATTAATCCGGCGATAATTTGGAGTACCATTGGGGTGGTTTCGCGGACTCAGTGAAATAAAATGGGGAATCTTGCTTTTAGAAGATGAATACTTTGATATATTTTATCAATTGAGCAATTGGACTTCCGTACATTTTGTTGAATGACAACCGCTATTGTGTCATTTAATAAAACCGCTAATAATATTAGCAGTTTTATTAAATGAACCGCTAATAATAATAACGGTTTTGTATAAATAAACCTTTCATTAATCCTACGCGAACGGTATCGTGAAAAATAGTTTTTAAATTGACGCATTTAAGGAATTAATTTACGTTTTAGCATTATTAATTTGTCTCATTATATTATATAAAAAAAGTGTGATTAACCAACTTTTAATAATTATAAATGGAATCATTCATTCTAACCTAAAAAAACAAAGTTAAAAGGTAAAAATTAAATTATTTACCTTGGCATGGAGAGTATAGTGAACCTTGTTATCGGAAGTTGAGAAGACAGCATTGACAACTTCGGCCCCGTCTTCCTCAAGAATCCTAATCACTTCATGTAACTTGATATCATGCTCTAATTCCATTACCAGCTGAACCTCTAGATTACTACCGATTTCTTTTACATCTATGATGGGTAATCTCACATTCGTCGTTGCATCATCCAAGGTCGAGTTTTGGGTAGTCTCTAGTTGATGTTTTCTCTTGTTTAAGTTTTCAACTCTCTCCCTTAACTCTACTATGTAATTTGTTGCTTCTTCTATTTGATTAGCTTGAGATAACACGTGCATATCCTACTCACAACAAAATAAGGAGTATATATAAAATCAAAAACTTGCAAATTAACTCCATTAAATTAAATATAATTCAAGCTCATTTAATTTATTAGCCTGTAATTTTTTGAATACGGGATATCTTTTTGATCCATGATTGAGTTTAATTAAAATGATACTTTTAGCCTTTTAGGGCTAGCTACATATACATGCATTATAAATCTATAATCATAGAGCGATAAATTAATCAATATTTTCTTTAATTATACTCGTGCAAAACTGCCTACGTATTATAAAGTATGTAAATTATATAAGAGGGGGTTCAACTGCCGGGGCATGCTAAGCTTAAAATAGTCTATTGATTACCGAACCATTAAATAGGTCGACCAAAAAATTAAACTTAGACTTGCCATCTACGTATATCTACGTGACTTTATATTACGGAGTAAACATGCATTAACACCCCCGTGCGCAACTAGCATAAAAAAGAAGCATGAACACAACCATATCGTGGAGGGATGGAAACGTCGAATGATAGAGGAAATTTCGCCGATTTGTTCCAACAACATTCTTTTCCAGCTGCTTTGATGGAGACGGGCTTTCACTACTCCTTTTCATGACAGATATATAATCTGGAAATCAACTCAATCAGTGATTACTCCAACTTATATACGTTTATAAGAGAGCCTGTTTTTACACCGGTTGTACCGTATATCCGGAATTATTTGCTCATCTATATTAAATGAACAAAAATTAATAAACAAATAACCCGAGTGTATATAACAAATTTTAAAGGGTTAATTTTTTCTCCGTAATTAGTAGATGCTAATTGAGTATTTACTAATAGTAGTATGAGTAGTGCACGTTCGTCACGACGAACGAACGCACGCTTAGTCAAGTAGATCAGTCAATATTTCTTATTTACAACAGTAACATAACTTTATTCTTAAAGTTACTCGTAATACTTTTTCAATTTATTTTTTATTTTATTTTTTATTTTATTTTTTTTTTATTTTTTTGGCAACTCGTAATACTTGTTATTCAATAAGTTACTCGTAATACTTAGCTTCTAGATTCAAAACACATGCGTCTTGCACACCGGCCAACTTTTTAGCTACGATCGAAACTCAAACTAGAATATTGTTGTAATAAAATCTTTTAATTATAAGATGTACAAGAAAGTAATCCTGGTTAATGTGTCATTAGGGAATTGACTTGCATTGTAAAGAGTCAAATGCAAGTTGGGGATTAGTGGATTACATGGATAGGTTTAGCGGCGAAACTACAAATGCTAATAATCAAATTGGCTCGGTGCAACTTTGTAAAATTGAGCCGTAAAACATAAAGATATGATTTTTATTAACAAAAATAATCAATTTTATGATAGAATAGAAGATTAGGTTATTGATCAACAAGAATTTTCTCTATTTTATATTAGTAAATATCAATTTTGGGGCCCTTTCATTTAAGGACCCCGTGCACATGCTTGAATCTACCCTCTGACCTCTACAGGTTGATGAAAGAGCAACGTAAATTTAAAGAGGAGAGAGATAAAACTGAATACATGTATGTGTATTCCAAACTATACATGCAATTTTATTGAACTTACCTACGCCCTTTTTTTTTTTTTTAGCAAAGTGTATTGCTTCAGATGAAGTTTTTTTATTAAGGCGGTTGTTAATCAAATATACGATGGATTTAGTTTTAAGGTGTGTACTTGTGTTGAAATTCTTGATTTCTTAGGAATTATATGTAAGTATCATTTAACTATATTTTATTAATGAAATCCCTTTTTCTTCTTGCGAAAAAAAAAATAAATAAAATAAATCTTCCACATCTTTTATATTAAGAAAAAACAATTTTAATATATTGCATTCTTTCCCTTGCGATTCAATAAGTCATTTAACAACTACTTATAGAAAAATAATCAGATTTATTATTAAAAAGATATTCATCATATTGTATATCATACGGGTACAACCTAAAATTTACTATTTAGAAAATTTTAAAGAGTATGGAACTTTATCATACCTTTTAATTTAGAAGAGAATAATTTGTAAAAAAAATAAAAAAAAAAAAAAATTGTTGAATTATAAATTGTTGTAAATCTTTATAAAGTATGGTAAAATCGTGTGTCGAAGCTACTTAAGCTAGTATAATCCTATATGCAAGTATAAAGTAAATCTTCCATTCTTTTTTAATTAACATGTTTTGATTTTTGACACTATTTGAAAACTTTACTTTTATTAGTCATTTATTTATATTTTTTATTTATTGATAATTTGACATATTAACAATTTAAGGGTTTTTTTTTTTTTTTTTTTTAAGAAAGCCAAAGCTAGTATATTAATCTAATGATGAAATGTCCGTGACTCCATGAGTACATACGGAGATATTTCATGCGGACAATGAAATTCTCACACTCGTTCACAACCAAAAGGTACTGAATAGCTTAGCTAAATGGTGAGCGACAAAATTGCCGTCACGCTTTACATGAGACCAAACCATGGACTTAAAGAAAGAACTCGAGTACAGGTGTAATACCCCGTATTTTTGAAAGGTATTTTAGTCTCGTATTTTGACGTATTTTTCTAAATTAATTATTTTCTAAAGAGTATTTTAGTTTTGGAGCCAAAATGATATTTAAATTTTGGCGCCTAAATCATTATTTTACAAAACTAATTAAATTGGATAATCCAATAAATGAAACTATTTTATACTTATGTTATAAATAGTATTTTTGATTTATCAAAATAGCTAAACCGAAATTATATTAATTCGGTAGATTAATTAAAATGTATTTTCGGTTTTCATAGAATAAAAATCTAAATTGTTTTAATATTTTTCTAAATTAATTATTTTCATGAAATATATTAATTTTCGGATTTTATACAATAAAAATCTGATTTAATTAATTATTATATGTCAATATTTTCGGCTACTCATGAATTTTCTAAATGGTTTTAATTTATTTTATTAAAAATAAAAATCCTTTAAAATTCTTTATTTCTATTCTTAAATCTAAAATCTCTTGATCTTATTCTATACTTGCACTCCAAGCTCAAAACTTACTAAATAATATTTCATGACCAAATAAAATCTAATATCCTTCCATACATTTAAAACCCTAATTTCTATTCTTTAAAATTTCCATAAATTATACAACCCTAAATTTCTATAAACTCATCACCTAAACACCTATAAATACCCCCTCATAACTCTCGTATTCTTCACACCAAAAACTCAATTCCCTTATTTTCTTTTACTCTTCTTTTCCCTCAAACTTTTCCTATTTTTCTTTTCCTCTTTTCTAAAAGAAAATCTGCCCGTATATCTTTGGAGCCAATTTTCAGGCACTTCTGGTCAGTGTTTGGATTTTTCTATTTCACAGAAAATTATTCCGCTCAAAAAATCCTTGAGGTTAGGCTCAAGAATCACCCAATTCGGAGTTATATCAAAGGAGTTATGATCTCTGCAAGTTCTGCCTATCCTTTCCAACGCAAATTCAATTTCCTTTAATCCTATTCCTTTATTTTCTTCATGGTTAGTTTTCTAAAATATAATTACCTATTTCACAGTTATAATTTTATATTAAACTATTATTATTTTTAAAAGAGTTTTATAGTCCATGCATATTAGATTTGGGTTTATGTCTAAAGATGTTGTGATAACCGTATGGTTATGTTAATTGCAAGGTGTATTCGTGATTGAACTTTGAAAGTGCGAAGTGTTGATTGATATTCAGAATTAAGGTACGTTATGTGGTTTGATACCTTCGAAAGTTGACTATGAAATTATGTTTTGATATAGTTCTTATGAAATTATGTGCCGTATGAAATTATGTTCTACTATATGAAATTGTGTTTTATGATGGCTTGAAATTAATGATTTTGGTTAATCAAAGGGGCTTTGAATTGCGATTAAAATTATTAAAAGGATTGGATTAAAAATTATTTACAAGTTTATTGATGTCCAAGTATAACGGATTTTTTAAAAGGTGCTTTTAAGCAATCAATCGATATGGTTATGAATCCCACTTAGGGAATGGATTAGAGAAGGCTATGGACTTTGCATGACCTAGCCTTTCCTGAAGATTGGCCTTTGTTCATGAAGTAAACCACTTGGGGGGTGTGCACACTTAGTGAGGAATTGGTTTTGGAACGTAATCGATTGAGTTTTTAAATTTGTCTTGAAAGAATTGAATTGGAAAAACTCTTACTTGAGTACGGCATTGGAATTCTTATGAATTAAATCTTAATGATTTAAATTATGTTTTACTTATCTTACACATAATTTACTTAGCATAATTTGCTAATACGTGCTTTTGTTTTTGCTTTGCCCTGTTTACCATTTATGGTAAGCAGGTGAAAAGCAGGTGAATGTTTCAGGTGGAAGTTGATTGATGCATACAGGAGTCCACGGGAATTTCACCTAGCTTAGGAAAAGTTGGAGTCGTTTTTGTGTCACAAATTATGAACAAGTTTTATTTAAAGTTTTATTAATAAGAATAAAGAATTTCCGCTGCAAAATTATTTTAAAGTATAAGCCTTGCGTTATCACGCGGCGGTAATACGTCCCAGTCTATCTCTACGGTATTTATACGTATTTTCTACATATTCCGTAGAGGGAGATTTGGGGGTGTTACAACAGGATATCACCTAAAATGGAGTCAAGATCAGAGAAGTAAATAGCCCCTTTTAAGAGCCTTTGGATGAGGAGTTAACAGTCCGAGCGATTCAAAAATCACATCTTCCACACCGTACCTCCCTGCCAACTTGATAGCCATGTCCATTGTTTTTGCTTCTGCAATTTCAGGAGGCCAATAGGCTGGAGCCCGTCTTGTAGCAGAGAAGATCACACTGCCCTTATGGTCTCACGCCACGAAACCAAACCTAACCCTCAACTGCCAAAGACGCATCTAGATTGATTTTCGTGGAACTTTCAGGGGGGCATCCACTTCTTGGCACTAGCAGCAAGTCTGGCTTTTGGGCTCTTGTAAATTCGAGTTGAGTACCATC